TTGACATAAAGTAACCTTTTGCAAAAATGGCAACATACCTTTTACCATTTAGGGCTTAATCTTTGTATGCAATGTCCAAATGACCAAGATAATACCTTATCTCAATGGTTATGCATTAAATTATGGAGTACAAACTGGTTTTGAGGCCTGTAATTGTGAACCAAGCTAGCTAGATCAGATTTGCAAATTGGTATGAACATGTATTGGCCATGGATCAAAGTGAGTTTTTGCCAACTTCAAGCATTCGATTCTCTCTAACCACAAGGGTGTTTGAGGAGTTTTGGACAATTTGGAAATCTTGGAACATTTACTATAATCCATCTTTGAAATGCAACTTGAAAATCCAATTGGAACTATGTGAAAAATGGCCAAGAAGATGGGTCAAAATCCTGCCTAAACTAGGGCAAAATTTCTCTAAGTTAAAAGTTTTTGGTACCCTTGTTCCAAAAATTATAACTTGAGATCCAAGCTTCTTTTGAGGGAAACTTTGTGAATCAAAGTTGTAGACTTTTTGATGGACTACAACTTTCATGTTGCAAGTTTTGTTTTAATTCATTTGCATCTTGGTGAACAAATGGGACAAAGTTAGGAAAAAATAAGAAAATTTCATAACTTGGAAAATTTCTAAGTTATGAAATTTTTCCATTTTAAACCCTAATTTGCATTTTTGGGTTTCTTGATGAACAAGTTTCATAATTTGACATGTCTTGATGAAAAATAACTCTTGGCACTTGATTTTGACCAAAAAGTCAAAGTTTTGACTTTTCAGTGCACAGTCAAATTTTGATCAGTTGACTGAAAAATTCATCTGTCAATCCTATGCATTTGAGATCTTTTGACTTGTTGAATGGGTCAAGACAATTTTATTGAGTCCTTGAGTCCACGTGTGAGCTTGATTTTCCATTGGCTAGGTCAAACAGTCAAAAATTTCCTTTGTGCAGTCAAAACCCTAAAAATGACTATTTTGCCCTTTTAGTGATCTGATCAAATTTCTTGTGGAATTGTGATCCAAACTTGATCAAATGGTTCATATGAGTTCATAATGTTGATGTGGGTAAAATTTCATGAGGTTTGACTGTCAATTGGCCACTATTGACTTTTTCCCCAATACAGTTGATTTCTAGGTCAACTGTCCAATTGACTGGGCAAAAATTTGAATCAAGGCTTGAAACTTGGTATGGACAAACTTGTGAGTCCAACATGAAGTATGAAAGTCACTTTGGGCATTGTAGGTCAAAATATCCCTGTGCAAACTCAAACCCTAATTTAGGTCAACAGTGCAAGGAGGTGTCTTGAGTAGAGCAAACCCTAGCTTGATCTTGAGTTCCAAGAGTCTTGTGATGAGAAATGTTGATGAAATGAGAGGGAAAATTTTGGGGTACAACAGACACAATACTGGAAGGTATTCCATGTAGCTTCACAATCTCACCAACATACATCTCGGCTAGCTTCTCCATAGGATGATTAATCTTCATCAAAAAGAAATGAGCCGTCTTAGTCAACCTATCCACAATCGCCCAAACTGAATCATTGCCTTTAGCAGTCTTCGGCAAACCTGACACAAAATCCATGGAAACATTGACCCATTTCCATTATGGAATACTCAAAGGTTGCATAAGACCCATTGGCTTCTGATGTTCAATCTTTGACTTTTGACGCGTCACACAAGCATAAACAAACTTAGTGATCTCCTTCTTCATACCAGACCACCAAAATAATCTCTTCAAGTCCTGATACATCTTCGTAGCACCGAGATGAATACTCAACCTAGTTAGATGACCTTCTTCAATAATACTTCTCTTAAGTTATAGAATATCCAGAACACACACTCTATCACCAAACCTCATCACATCCATTCTCATCAGTTCCGAACTTATCTCCTTTACCTTGGTTAATCAAAGTCAATTGGTCTACTAACCTCAAATCAAACTTCCGACCTTCACTGATTTTCTTCTATTATGCCGCTAGTCAGTTTAAGCATTCCCAACTTCACTCTATCAGGAGTATCTTCACATACTAAGCTCATATCCCTAAATTGTTTGATCATCTCCAATTCTCGAACCATAAGCATTGATATGTCAATCATTTTCTAAATGCACCGGCAACTACATTCACTTTACCAGGATGGTAATTCAAATCAAAGTCATAGTCTTTCAGAAATTCAAACCACCTTCTCTGTCTCATATTCAATTCTTTCTAATTAAACAAGTGCTTTTAAACTTTTGTGATCACTAAACACATTGAATTTAAGGTGGAAAATCATTAAGAGAAAATAAACAAAATGAAAAGTAAAATACACAAAGAAAATCCTTCGATCCAGGGAAGGGGATTGCCCTTCGATCTTGGGGAAAGGGAAATGCCCTTCGATCCAGGAAGGAGATGTCTTCTTCGATCCAGAAGGCTACGTCTTTCGATCCAGGAAGGCTACGTCTTCCGATCCAGGAAGGCTATGGCTCTTTCGATCTAGAAGGGAGTTGCCTTCTTCGATCCAGGAGGACAATGGACAGCTTTGATCTAGAGAAGGTGTCTCCTTCGATCTGGGGTGCTGGATCTGCAAATATAATGTGGGAAAAAAAGGGAAATAAAACAAAATCCTAGGCTTGAATCGAAGCTGGTCCTGAATTCGACAGCCTGGCTGCTTTGAAGTTATGGCCAGAACACCCTAACATGGTTTGAAAATGGATATCACGATTCAAGCGTCATGGGCTTCATGCTAAGCTTTTGATCTGTTCTAATGATGCCTAGCAACTAATACATACACGTTAAAGCATTCAAAAACATGCAAACATGGGGATTTGAATTTTAGAAATTTTACCAAAACGGGTGATGATGATACCTCGGATCTGGGCTTGAAACTGTATGCTGGAGGGTATGATTTAGTCCCTGGAAGCCTCAAGGGGGTGTTTTGAATCCTCATGAAGAATGACATGTACTTTTCATGAAGAATGGGGAAATTGTCTTCCAATTACTTCTCATGCTCTTTGGATAGCTAAATCTTTTCATGACGTATCTCTTGAAGATTGTCCTTTGCGTCTTTCTAACATTCTCGAGCCTTGCACAAAGACAACTTAATATTCTTCACGGTCATACAAGTAGATTCCAATTCCTTGTTCACCTCTACAAAAGCATCCTTAACTATGGATAACACCAATTGAGTGACCTTTAAAGTTTCATCTTTCTTCTTCATCTTTTGCACAAGTGATTGCACCCTCTTGGCCAATAAGTGGGGGTAATCCAAAATTATGCACTTTAGTCCATATCTCTCTCAACAAACTAGTCGTTCCGGTGAGCTTCTCTAAATAGTGGTCACACTCGATAGTAAGAGCATTGACACATTACTGAAGCCTTTATTTTTCCTTTCGAAGACGGTCAGACAAGAAAACATCTTCCCTTCAGGCAGCACAAAAGGCCAAAACACCAGACAACCGGTGAGTTTAGTATGTTATTTAAGTCAACTCCTTTTGAAGAATGACATGCACTTTTCCCTAAAATTATGTGTAATCCTCCTTAGAAAAAGAAGACTAAAACTCCCCAACTGTCTGCGGACCAAGATAGGCCAAAAATGAAGGTGGTATTATAGTTGCGATTGATGTATATCACACACCAGAGTCTGATCTCCCTAAGTTTTGATCGTACATTTAAAGTTGTCTAACAAACACCTCTTCCCCATGTGGCCCCCTGCAACATGCATTGTGACAGGATCTCATTCGTCTACAAACAATGATGATTATAGAGCACCTTCCACCACAACTCAATTGGGAGATTCCCAACCTTCCACTTGGACTCATATAGAAAGGTTAACTGCAAAATGAAGATTAAGTATAATTATTTTGTTAATTCATCTTGATACTCGAAGAACAATATTAGAGAAAATACACGATTAGTTAATTTTGAAGAATAAAGGATTCAAAAAAGACCTAGTCGTTTTTAATCTCTAATAAATTTCGTATGTTTATTTTCTTTTCTTTTGAAAATCAAATCTTATGAAAACCCTTCCATTTAAAAATTTTAGAACGAAGGTATTGTGTTGAAATTAAAAAATCCATATGGTGACGAACTTATACATTTTATTACTTAACGACAATTTAGTACACTTACTAAAAAAAAAATCATCGTTCATCCATTTGAAGACTTCATCAAAAAAGAAAGAGTTGATAGATATACAAAGGAAGAGGCTACTAATATTTTATATATAACTATCACAATCTTGAATTCAATTAGACTTTTTTTTTTTTAAATTGATGGCAGATTTCTTCACCCAAAACACACAATATCTCATGCTCAACTTACTTGAGATCAGTCGGAGCAAATTCACTTTTTGATTTTCTTTATAAAAAAAAAAAAGCTATTTCTAGTGGCAGCAGACAAACTTTTATTCACATTCCTTTTACGATGAAGTAATCTTTTAAATCAGTAATTCCTACAAGCACAAATAAGTCAATAATCATGTATTAGATATCTCACCATTTCAATTCTGCCAAACCAATGTGTAGGACAGAAAACATGAGGTGATAAGATCACACTTCAAAAAGAAAATACTCAATTTAGCCAAATCCTTCCATTTAGCCTGATAATCCAAAACATACATCTACCAAACCTGATGCACAAAACGTACAAACTACTCCAATGTTTACTCTTCCAATTAAATCAAACCACCCCATTTCCTCAAAAGCTATATATGATTAGACCGCACTATTAATGTCATAGAAAAACAAAAAACATTTTTGTCTGAAATAATCAACTGAGCACAGGAGAAAGTTCTAGAATTCTATTCCTTTTTGCCAACCTATTATATTATTATGCTTTTGTGGTACCACATATTGTCAATAACTACTGACTAGGAAACTCATGAGATACAAAAAGAGTCTTATTATTTATAGGACCCTTACCATATTACCCTTTAGACTCTCTCATCTATATATGCCTATATATAAGAAAATTGTATATATAAATAAATCTTGAAAACAATATCAAGAAGAAGAAAGTTGTAAGGTAGAAAGATGATAATGGTGGCGATTATGACAGAGATATTAGAAGAGTACGCCGCTGTGCTGACAAGAGCAACAGAACGCTTCCTCTCACGAAATGGTATGAGTTTTGAAGATCTAACCAGTAGGAATTTTTCGTTTTGGTTCTTCAACCTCTTCTTCAGATTCTACTTCTTTTCTTGTTTACTTTTGATTATCAATATATTTTGCTAACAATGAAGCAAATGAGCTTTGCTTTATACAAAGAAAGAATCAGTGTATTACTTCTAGTTTTTGGTATCTTAAATTCATTTTATTTTCAATTATTGTTTGCTAGTTGTTGAGGCTTGAGGTAATGCCCCAATTTAATTGTTTATTAATGAATGTGATCTCTGGTTTAGAGATATCTTCTTTTTTTTCCTAATTCTCCGATTCTCAGAGAA